AGAGAGAAGGGAGAAAGTATAGGCAGGAGGAGGACGGGGAAGAGAGGAGGGATGATGGACTACTGCGTCTCAGGAATGAGCTGTTATTAATACTGAGTGAACTGGTCTCAGCCCTAATGCTTAGGCCATGTGCAGGGTAAGGAGTAAAGGCCATGGAATGGGGGAGACTTGGGGTCAAACATGTTTGATACTGTGCAGGGCTCTGTGGGGCTCCCGGGCACAAGGTCCTTCTGTGTCCCCCATTTCTTTGATTATAGGAAACAGCCTTCATTCAGCCTCCACGAACTTCCCTGAGTTCCAACGGGCAGATTCAAGCAGTTGCTAGTTAGGGAAGGAAGGGGATTCGAGACCAGGGAGAAACTTAACAGTCAAGAGAAACCATAGTGCAGCCTTGGGGGCAAGGTCCTGTTTCCCCATCAAGGGATACACACCACAGTATCCTTTACCCATTTTGCAGATACTGGAAACCCACTGCAGGTGGAAGAAGTTATAACAATGGTACGCTGCCCACAAGCATGTAGACCCCAGAGCAACTGGCTGATGATGCTGACTCCCACTTACCTCACCACCAGCCCATCAGAAGAATGTCCACGAGCTGATCAGACCCTTTATAAACAATTACTATAAAACTTTTCACTATCTTCCCCAAGTTGGGACACATGGTTTTGAGGGCATTAGCCAGCTGTGGCCCCCTTTGCCTGGCAAAGCAATAAAGCTCTTCTTTTCTACTTCACCCAAAACTCTGTCTGAGATTCGATTTGGCAGCAGTGTACAAGTTTTCAGCATAATGTTTGCTCCTTATAAGCTGGGTGACTTTGGGGAGGTGATTTAACCTCACTGAATCTCAATTTATCTGTTGGAAAATTAGGCAACATCAGTCTTCCCCCTTCCATCTCTGTCTCTGTCTGTAGGTTGTTGTGAGGATTAAATGATAAATGAAATAATTGATGCAACACATCCAGCGTAGTGCCTGAACCTAGTAAGCTCCCCTGAGGGCTGCTTCCTTCTCTTCCACCCCATTACTGCCTCCAATTGCTGTGAGGATTAAATTAGATAAGGTGCTTGCTAGCAGGACTACATACAGGTTTGTTTCCCGCCTCCTTCTCTTAAAAAAAAAAAAAAGGCTCCCAAACTAGCAAAATTTCCTTCCAAAAGGGTGGGATTGGAAGTGGGCGATAAATTGCCTGGTTTCCCTCAGTGACTGTTTCCCAATTCTCCTTCTGCTCCTTCTGTCCTCTTCCATGTTTACCCGAATTCTGGCGTATGGTTGTAGAAAATAGACCCTTTGATGGTTTTGTCAAAATATCTTGGGAGCCAGAAGAATGAGGACCAAGTTAGTCATCCTTTCTGCAACTACAATCAGGAGGCGATGTTTATCTTGCCCAGCCAGATCCTGCACTGAAATATATAGTACAATTAGATGTCCTTGAAAAATGTGGCTTGTGGATGTTCTGTAACCAGGGATGGGTAAGTTTGTTCCTTTATGAATCTATAAGTACTCATCAAAGGCTGGAGGTGGTCACTGAAATAGATTTTGGGAGTCCAAATCACAATGATCGTGGCATGGTGGCTGAGGAGGGGAGCAGTTATGGGGCCTAGATTAAAGACTTGATGTCAGCACTATCAATAAAACTTTCTAGATGATGGAAATGGTCTATTTCTGTACTCTCTGATATGGCAGCCACACAGTTGAGCATTTGAAAGGTGGCTAGTATGACTGAGGATTCAAGGTTTTAATTTTAAGTAATTTAAATAGCCACATATGGTTAGTGTAGCATTATATAGGGCTTCCAAGGTGCACAGTGGTAAAGAATCCATCTGTCAATGCAGGAGACATGGGTTCAATCCCTGGGTTGGGAAGATATCTTGGAGTAGGAAATGGCAACCCGCTCCAATATTCTTGCCTGAGAAACCCCTTGGACAGAGGAGCCTGGTGGGCTACAGTCCGTGAGGTTGCACAGAGTCGGACACGACTAAGTGCACACAAGTGCAAGCAATATACAGGCTGCAGCACCCCAGGAGCCCCGGCTTTCACATGGGTGGGAGTCTCATCTGGGCATGATTTCCAGCTGTGCCCAGGGTACCTGATGTGGCCGAAGGGCTGTGCTCCCTGCCAGTGAGGGAAATTAGGCTGAGCAGATTAGGACTGGAAGGGCTGAGGTGGATCTGGGGGGAATTTGGAGGGCCCAGGGGATGGGAGTGTGCGATGCAGGCTGCAGCTCATCCCTGGAATCTCTCTGGGGCTGGGGATTTGGTTCAGGATCTGTCTTATCTCACAGTCCCGACCCTGTATCTTCACTGGATATCCCTGGAGCAAGATGAGCGGCTGGTGAGACCCAGGTGCTGCCTCCAGGGGACTCCTCATCTGTCTTCTTGGGATAGCACCTTGTGCGCAGAGTATAGGAGGGGGCTGGTCTCCCCTGAGCCCCCCTGAAGGAGGGCCTCTGCCTACCCTGCCTCAGATTATGCTTGAAGAAGGAGTGATGGCCTGGCACAGTGATTTTGGCAACTGCTGCGTGAGATAGTTGCTGCTGCTCTAATGTGATTCCTTGGTTCTCCTTTATAGGAAAAGGTTTCCTGTGAATTCGTAGCAGCAGTGTGTGGTGATCAGGCATCTGGACTCCCTGGCAATGGAAAAACTCAGCCCGGCTTGTGGCAGCTGCTCTCCCCTCCCCTCTTCCTTCTCTTGACTCTCACCTCCTGACTCCATCTCCCTGCCCTCAGTAGAAGTCCTCCGGCAGGACCCAGTCCCTCACTTCAGATGCACAGCCCTGCCCAGAAAGGTGAAAAATGACCCTGTCTCTTTCCAGCTGATCTCAAGGAGAAAGCAAGACCCTTCCCCACCTCTCCTCCCTCCCTCAACCCCATAGACAGACCGTGGGCAGGTCACTGAGATAAAAACCACTTGACTGATTGTTGGGAGTGCTCAGTCACTTGTGTTTGACTCTTTGTGACCCCATGGACTGTAGCCCACCAGACTCCTCTGTCCTTGAGATTTTCCAGGCAAGAATACTGGAGTAGGTTGCCATAGCCTCCTCCAGGGGATGGCCTGGATCTAAATGCTGGCTCTGCTAAGAGTTCTTTTTGTGTCCCTTGGCAAATGATTTTCTCTTATCTAGGCCTTTGTTTCCTTGTCTGGGAAATGTGGAATTGAACAGTTTCTTGAAATGCTAACATTCCAGGATTAGAGTAGATCCAGTGAAATGTGATTATCTGAGAGGCTTAATCACTCCAGGCATTTGAAAGAGGAGCAGGTTAACAGAAGTAAGTGTCTAATTGGCAGCCTGGAGTGGGGGATCTCCCTGAAGCAGGAGGCCTTCCAAATTCCCTCACCTGCTCAGGCTGCCTCAGGTGCCTCAGGCTCCTCCACCCCTCCAGGAAGGACAGCTGAAGGGACCCTCTGCCCCTCAGGCAAGAAAGATCCTGCCCTTACTCCGAGTGCTCTCAGAAGCGATCTGCTGTTCAAATGGATTTCTGTCATTCCTGGGCTGCACAGAAGGGCAGTCTGGCTGGAGAGCAAAAGTTCAGATAAACAAAAGACTCCTGTGCCATGGGAGCTTGAACTTGGGAGTGTGGTAATGATAGGAATGCCAGCCTGGGAGTCAGAGGGACCTGGGTTCTAAGCCTCCTTCCAAGCGAAGCAACCCTGCGGACTTTGCCTGGCTGTTGTGGGCACCATGAGGAGTCTGTGGCTACACCAAATGTTTTTGTGTAAAACGCAGTGCAAATGCAAAGCGGTGCTGAGGGCGTTCACCTTCTGTAGCTACAGATATCTGCAGAGTAACAATCAAATGGCACTGGGCTCCTCCCAGGGCCGTGAGCCAGTGCTGTGAACAGTAAGACGCTAAATCACTCCCGAGCTGTTTTAAGGATTAGGCAGAAATGTTAATGGCAACAGATGCCGGCTTGTTCCCTCCAGGAGGATTTAGGTTTCAGTGGAGTATTTCTCTGCTGGCTTCTGCCCAAATCGTGGCCATAGCCCTTTTTCTGACCTCTAGTTCAACCCAGCAAGCAGAAGGGGCTCGCTTTTTCCCCTGAGGCTGAGAAGCAGAACTTCTAGGGAAGGCCTCAATAAGACAATGATCTCTTGTAAGATGAGCTGATTCAAACTTTAGGAAAAATGGGGAACCACAAATGTAGTTTGGAGCCCAGGTTTTTCCTGGCAGCCATGAAGAGAGATGAAAGCACTGGGTTCTAGCCTGGGTTTGGAGAAGCTTCCAGGGCTCTGTACCATGAGACCTGGTGCTCCAGGCTTTCCGGATCTAACATTCTGTTAGGGGAAACACACTGACTGAAACCGCCCATCCTGGTCAGGCTCCATAGTAATCACTTGCAAGAGTTATTTTACCACAGGAGGTCCTGGTAAGGAACGTGGAACTAATAAGCCACCACCAACTGGAAGAGTTCAGGAAAGGTCAAAAGGAGACACCCCGTGACCTACCACTTTCCAGAATCTTCCTTGCTGGCATCCATTTTGGCTGAGCGATGCATGTGCCACCAGGAAGGACCCTGAGTCAGAATGATTGGCCAGAAAACCTGGAAACTAATCCCGTCACCTTTAAACCTGAGACGTCGAGCCATATGGAAGAGCAGTCCTCCTGGGTTCCCTTACTCTCCTGCTCTCTGCCCCTATGCCCCTTCCAATAAAGTCTCTTGCTTTATTAGCTTGGACAACTCATTTCTGAGTGTTAGAAAAGAGAGCACTCTCTGGTCCTGGAAGGGGTCCTCCTTCCTGCAACAATGCTAGGGGACCATGTAAATAGATGAAGAGAGCAGCCAACCAAAGGACTGTTCCAGAAAGTATCAGGCTTTCTCCTCCAGCACTTTTCAGCGAGGAGGCCACATTCTTGGGGAAAGAGAGAGGCGTGTGTTATCATCCTGGTCTGGAGTCTGTGCAAACAGCAGATCCGGCAGTAGCTCCAGGAAAAGACTCTGGGGAACTTGTGAACCTTCAGACGAGCGGCTGCATTCTGCCCTTCTGACGGCTCCCCTGCACTCACCTTTGAACGGGGACTGGGCTCGAGTCACCAGGAAGAGGCTCTTGCTCTTCTTGCTTTGCCGCTCTTGGCGGGTGTGGTAGCCCAGCGTGTTGCAACGACCCTTCTTGCAGCTCAGACACAGGCCTTGGCTGAAGCTGTCCATGTCCCTGCACAGGTACGCTGTGCTCTGCATGTCAGCGTGCAGCAAGGAGTCGATGAAGAGGTGCACTGACCGCTCATGGGCGCATTTAACGGTCTGGGTGATGGCTGGAACACAGGGCAAGAAGGACGTTATCATCCCTTAATCCGGAGGATCGCCTTGCTTCTCAGTGCAGAGTAGCACCATCTCAGGAAGGAGGATGGGAGTGCTGAGGTCAGAGGTCAGCCCACTGACTACAGTGATTGGCATAGCTGGCGGAAAACTCCACAAAGAGTAGACCATTTGCAGGCACTTAGTGCAGGGGCAGAATCCCAGGCTCTGAAGGGCTGCCCAGGGCACTCTGTATGTTACGGTAGGTGTTTTAATAGGAGCCCCGAGTCACTAAGAAAATACTGAGTTCTTTAAGCAAGTGTGTGTGTGTATTAATCGCTCAGTCATGCCTGACTCTGCGACCCCATGGACTGTAGCCTTTCAGGCTTCTCTGTCCATGGAATTTTCCAGGCAAGAGTACCGTAGTGGGTTGCCATTCCCTCCTCCAGGAGATCTTCCTGACCCAGTGATCCAACCCAGCTCTCCTGTGTTGCAGGCAGATTCTTCACCATCTGACCTACCAAGAAAGTTCTCTTTAAGCTATTCATTTTGGAAATATTTTAATCTCAAACAGTTAAAAATGCACAACTGCTGATACTCTAAGGCTGAGTTGGCAGAACAGGCTTGTGTGGAATGCCTCTTTTTATTTATTTAATTAAAAAAATTATTTTATTTTTGGCTGTGCTGGGTCTTTGTTGCTGCACGCAGCCTTTCTCTGGTTTCAGAGAGCAGGGTCTACTTTCTCATTGTGGTGCACAGGCTTCTCATTGTGGTGGCTTCTCTTACTGTGGAGCAGAGGAGCTAGGGTGTGTTGGTTTCTTCAGCAGTTGTGGTGCACAGGCTCAGTTGCCCCATAGCATATGGGGTCTTAGTTCCTGGACCAGGGATGGAACTCATTCTCCCTGCAGTGGAAGCGGGGAGTCTTAACCACCGGACTGCCAGGAAGTCCCTGGAATGCCTCTTTGCTTAATAAAGCTGGCTAAGCCAGTACCCAAGCACTCTTGGGATAGGCTACTGGTCTGGTGAGGGCTGAGGCCTCCCCCATCATGTTCCAAAGCAGCCACAGCCTGCCGAAGTAACTGGCCAGATGACCAGCATGGAGCTTTGCTTTGAGAAGGATGTGCTCCAGTGACTGGGTCTAAATGGACCTAAGCCAAAACAAGTTTAGGAGGCTTCCGTACCAAGGGTTTTGACCTTATTTTGGGAGGGGAGGTTGTTTTGGGGTCTCCAAATCTTAATTTTTAGTGTTCTCTAGGAGTGTTGAGGAACCACCACAAGGTATGGTAAGAACTTCCTGTGAAAATGGATCCCAGGTAGCTTAGCCAAATCATTTTCCCTAGGATTAGTCATGTCAGTTCCTGGTCACGAGCGGCTCTATTTGTTGAGCACCCATTATGAGGCAGGTACTACTGAGTACCTTCCCTGGATATTCACCACAGCTCCTCAAGGCAGCTCTTACAAGTGAGAAAACTGAGCTTCAAAGACAGTCTCTAACTCAAACAAGCTCACCTAGCCAGGAGGTGGTGAGGATGGTAAAGCAGTTATCAACTGACCATGTCAACACGTTCACCCCAGAATGGGATCACTTTCAAACATAAGGGTGAAGAAAATGGAGAAAAACCACCCTAAGGTGGGCAAGATAAATAAATATACTTGGTCCCATCATTCTGACATTTAGCACAAAATAGAAAATGGTAGTAATTGGGCAGAGGCATTTACCAGGTGATCAGCTAATGAACGAGCATCTAGGGGGTCTCTGTTGACTTTAGGGAGGGTGTAGATCTGGGAAGAGGGCTGGCTGATCACCAGGGACTGCTGGTGACCAGAGGGCAATGATAGGAGAGAGATGTTAAGGAATGATAAGGGGAAGTTCCCAGAAAGTTCTCAGGCGTGGGCTGGTGAAAGGCTGGGAGTCCAGCCAAAATGAGATAATGTCGAATGTGAAGGTCATTCTGATACAGGAGACATGAAGGTGATTAAAGAAACACAAGATAGTGTGTGCTTAGCTCAGTTTTCAAATGATTGGGAGAAGGTGGTAAGTGGGGGTGGGCTGGGGGTCTCCAGTTGGCTTAGACTGAGTTGGCAGGTGTTAATCAGGATATTATTTTCTAATAAAGAGAAACTTAGAATGCCTATGAAATGTATGGTTTTTGCTCACATTTTTGTTCTTTAATCCAGGGCCTGTTATCAAGGTTCATGTTAATGTTTTGGTTTTAGGGTTTGAGAGAGAAGGGGGAAATCATGACCCAGATAATGCCACAGTCATTTTCTGCACTGAGACAAAGTCCCAAGGAAGTCACAAGGACCTATTTAGAGCTGAACTTTGAATTGGAAGAATCTCAGTAATGAATGTCTCGTGGGGTCAGCTGATTAAGCCTCATACTTGGAAGACCAAGAAGCCATGATCTATTAAGTGGATTAGCCTGGGGCCAGAATAGAGGCAGCCCCCTGAATGAGGAAGCTTCTGGAGAAAGAGGAATGACCACAGGCAGCAGGGCTCAATTTTCAGAAGGGCTGATACCCCAGGAGAGACTTGTCTGGGTATGATGAGTGGAGATAAGAAGCGGGAATTCCTGGATGTGCCCTCAACTCATCCTCCGTGTCTGAGCTCCAGCGACCACTGCCTGTGAAGAGGAAGGTCTTGCCTGGGGAACAGCACCCTTTCCCACACACACAAGCCCTCTCTGCATGGAGTAGGTGACCAAAGTGTTGAGCCCCATCCTTGCCAAACTCCTCCCAGAATCTCACAGATTGGATTCCCCTGGATCCAGAGGCCACACCAACTGTGGGGAGTGTAAGCCATTGTAGGCTAGTGTCTCTTTCTCACCATTTAAGCCATGCTTGGCGAAATGTTTGTAGAGCTCTAGGAAGTGGCATCCGGGCTGGTAGGAGCCCCCGTTGGGGTAGAAGTCATAGTGTGCTATGGGCTGTTTGATGCCCACACTCAGGCCCATGTGCTCCCAGGTAAAGGTGTGAATGGCATCCACAAAACTGGCGTCATCCGGTGAAAGCCGGTCGCTGAGGGAGGCTTTTTCAAACAAAGGGCCTGCGGCATCCAGCCCTAGGAGGAAAGCAAGGGGAAGGATCAGATTGGAGCAAGAGGAGGCAGGGAGAAAGGCTCTTTTTAGCTTTCTGATGTTATTGCACATTCATGAGCTAGCAGGAAGAAGAAAATCCTAGGGCATAATCTTTCTCTAGAAAATCTTGCCATGACTTTTTTGCACTAAAATTAAAGTAATTCATGGTGCTTAAAATCGGACACAGGCTGGTTATTATCTATGGGGAAAAGAGGTTTGCAGGAACTATCCAGTGGTAGAAATGAGGTTATAAGGGAATGCTTGATTTATTTAAGCAAATCAGTTTTAAGTACCTTTCAAGCTACTTTTGAGAGCATCTGTTTGCATACAAAAAACCACTGTGTTATTGTAAGTAGTCCTAACCTACCCATCAAAGAAAGAATTTATTTGTCTGCATGTTGTCAATAATTTCCCTAAACAAGCTGGCTTTCTCTCTACACTAATGTCATTTCATTGGAATGTTCAGAACAGCCTTAGGACATTACTGTTCTCTGGGGAAAATGTCAGGAGCAAATAGGACAGCTCACAGCTCTGGTCCTTAAGTGACAGATATGTTTGCATGAGACAAGTGGCAGTCTCTGGCAGACTATAGCTGGGGAGTATTTATGCACTCAAGGAGTATTGTCTGTCTTTCTTGCTTTACCTTTTCTGGAGGACCCCTTGTTGACCTGTATCAGGCCTGGCTTCAATCCTTGGTGGGGATGAAGGAATTGACACGGGGCCATGACAGTCCCTGCTCTCCAACCCTCACCTGTAGTTACATGTGAAGGCTGTGATTTGTATTTCTTTCTTCATCAGGCTATGAGATGACAATAGTAATTAGCTGTCCTGTCACTTCTGATGTGTGTGGGCCTGGCTAATAATGCCTGGTGTGGCCTGTGACACCAGCCAGCGTGGAGAGGGTCCCAGGCCCAGTGCTGCCTCTCTGCAGTTCTGACTTCTCCTTCTAGGCCTGGTTTGTCTGTGAAGGGCCTCAGTGGCCTTCTGTGATAAGTTCTTATGGGAGGTCTGTTCACTCCCAGCCTATTGAGGGTTAAATCATGGAGGGCACCAAGTACTGATCCATGGTCAGGCCTCCCCAGTCACCAATGAGATGAAAAAAAAAAAAAAATGGAAAATGAATTCTCATCATGACAGACTGGCTTCATTTAAATGTCTGCCGTCATCCTTATCTTTTTTTAATGCTAAAATAAATCTCTTCTTTTATGAAGGAATGGTCACAGTAGATAGCAGTTGCCAAAAGTGTTCTTTCTTGATAAAATAAAAGGTCACAGCAACTCTATTCATCTTAAATTTTGTTCAGACTGTTTTAGATTGTGAATTATTATTTTAGGCTGCTGGGTCTTGAAGGATGAGTAGGCATTTGGTAGGTAGACTAGGGTTTGGTATTCCAGGCAAAGGGAATAGTGATTGCAAAGGCCCAAAAGGATAAGAGGCCATGGCGTGTTTGTAGTAGAGTGGAGAAAAATCTAGTGTCATGAAAGCCTAGAGCCACAAGGAGGGACCAGGGGGATGAGACGCTGGAGAGCCTTGGGAACGCTACACTGAGAAGGGCCTTGTCTAGGCCTCCTAAGCTTCACCCTGTAGGAATCAGTGGGCCTCCGAGACTGGGCTGAGGAGTCATCTCATCAGGCCTGTTCCTCTGAATGTGACTCTGGGTCAGCAGGGGGAGGGGGGAGGATGGGTGGGGGAGATGAAGTGGGTGTCTGGGCAGCCTGCTAGGAAAGGCCTTCTTGTGCGTCGTCAGATACCTCTTCCTAGGTATCTCGGGGTATTTCCAAGCTGGCATAGAGCTTGGGGTTTTTGGTGCTGGGATCCCTCCCCCAATGCAGATGGGCCCCAGCGTAGGACCCACGTGTTTCACTAAAGTGGAAACAGAGGTCCAAACATGGCTGTCACAGGAAATGTAAGGCTGTCGTTCTTTTTTTTTTAGTTTATTTTTAATTGGAGGATAGTTGCTTTACAGTGTTGTGTTGGTTTCTGCTGTACAATGAAGTGAATCAGCTGTGTGTATACTTATGTCCCCTCCCCCTTAAGACTGCCTCCCACCCTCCATCCCACCCCTCTAGGTCAGCACAGAGCACCGGGCTGAGCTCACTGCGTGATATAGCCGCTTCCCGCTAGCTGTCTGTTTTACACGTGCTGGTGTGTGTCCGTCAGTGCTGCTCTCAGTTCGTCCTACCCTTACCCTCCCCACTGTGTCCACACGTCTGTCCATTCTCTCTGTCTGCGCCTCTGCTTCTGCCCTGCAAATAGGTTCATTAGTACCATTTTTCTAGATTCCATATATATGCACTAATATACGATATTGTTATAGCTGTCATTCTTTAATTCACATTGGGCTTTTAAAACTATAGGTTGGAAAATAAACTCTTTCCTATTACAAAAGTGTACAGAAAGTGTACCTTTTAGGTCCTATTTGGCATGACTGTGAGATGCATTTGTTTGAGGAAAGGCGGTGATTTGCTCTAAATTCTCGGAGAACAGCAGTCTATGGCAGCGGTCATGTTTGAAATAAATAGTGCTACAAGTCCTCCTGTGAACTCTAATACAGCTCGAAGGAAGCCGGGGGTGTGTTAATTATGAGCCTGTTGGAAAAGCAGGTCCCTGCTCCATGACCCCGTGCAGTCGTGGAGATTATAGTTGTTAGTTATCAGGCATGGTTACCTGTAATTCTCCCAATCTTGTGCTTTCTGCTCATGTAACTGCCAGCGAATCCTGAGACATGTGCACCCAGGCTGTACCCAATTAGATGAACATGGCTTGGAGAAAATTGAACAGATTCCTGGAAGACAGTGGTGAGATGGTTGCAGGAGGGGGAGAGCTGCCTGGATAAAAGCCTTTTGTGGGTCCAGCATGCTTGGTTCTCTGTTCTTTGTACCACAAGTGAGATGCTTAATTCCTACTTAGGACCCAAACAGTTTTCTCATCTTGCTGACTCTGTGCCATTTCCTCTCAGGCTCAGCTACCTGGGCCCCTGCCTGGTGATGCCACCTCTTGTCTGCCCATCTTTGTTCTTGCTATTGAGTCGCTCAATTGTGTCTGACTGAGACCCCATGGACTGTAGCCCGTCAGGCTCCTCTGTCCATGGGAGTCTCCAGGCAAGAATACTGAAGTGAGTTGCCATTTCTTTCTCCAGGGGATCTTTCTGACCTAGGGATGGAACCTGTGTCTCCTACATTGCAGGTGGGTTCTTTACTCCTGAGCTACTGGGGAAGCCCCCTTCCCATCTTTACATGGACATGAATTCCTTGCAGGAGTGATCTCATCCATGCATATGGGAGTTTCATAGTTTACAGGGTGTGTTTTGATCCCCTAGTACATACAAAGAGGTGACCATAAGAGGAATAGATGATTCTACAAGACAGGGCTTCAGGGAGGCATCCGAGAGAGCCCTGGGGTCTGGTCTCTGTCTTGTGCCTTCCTATTCCTGTGAGCTTAGCGGAAGTGGTTGTCTTGTTTTGGCTGCTGCAGGAGACCAGCCTAATTCACTCCGTCTCGGAGGAAGGGAGGGGAAGGGAGAAGAGGGAAGAGAAGAGAGGTCAGGGCAGGTCTCACCCGCAGCCACTGGAGAAGAGCCGCGATCTCCTGGCCGACGAGGCGAGTGTTGCGCACGGCAGTGGTGTAGTGGTTGTGAGCCAGGGTGACCCATTCTGCCAGCCCCACATTCACTGGCTGGGCCAGGTGAGACTTCAGTGCGGCTACCATCTCCCAGACCCAGTCTTCCAGTATGCCGTCCACCTGAGGGTAGGCCCGCAGTATCATCAGCCTCCCGGGGAGAGAGGAGGGAGCCCTGGACAAGCTCCCTCTTTTTTCTTGCTCACCTCTTCCCTTCTCCAACTCTGGGCTCATTCTGGGTCTTTCTCTCCAAGAGAAAGGGCTTAACCTGGGGCTTCTCAGCACACTGTCATTTGGAGCCAGATATTTTTTTGTTGTGGGGGCTGTCCTATGCATGGTAGGACATTGAGCAGCATCTCTGCCTCCACCCACGAGATGCCAACGGCACCCCATCACCCCCACCCTCAAACCCCAAGCTGTGAAAACCAGAAATGTCTCTGGACATTCCAAATGTCCCATCCCTCGAATGAGAACCATTGTCTTAACATTCTCTATTTTAGGACTTTGCAAGCCTTAAAACAATGTAAGTCTTTGTAGATGGGGTAATGAAAGATGACCTGTTCTTTGGGGGTTGACTCCAGCGCTACCTCCTCTGCGAGGCCTGTGCTGCTGCCCCTCTGAGTCACACCTCGCTCGCTCGCTCGCTCTGTCCCCACCCACTGTGTTCTGCTTGCCTTGGAGGGGCTAGCACCATGAGCAGGAACATAGTCGAAACTCATATAACGATCAAGTTGATTGATTATGGAGAATCATTCTGTCTGTGTACCTGGTTGAGAGCCAGTTTGCAGGACATGCCTGAAGGGTTCACAGAGCAAACATGTTTGTGTTGGGTCTTGAAGGATAAATAGGAATTCGCAGGGAAGAATCAAGGTGGGCAGGTAAGTGCGGAGGTGGTTGGGGGGCAGAGTGGGTATCTAAGGGATTCCAGGTAGAGGTAATCATGTCCAGAGGTGTAGAATCACAAAAGGGCAGTGTGGTCTGTCTGGGAAGAGGGGAAAAGCTGAGTGTGATCGAAGATGAGAAGACAGAAGTGAAACTGGACAGCAGTACTGCTGGTCTGGCTTGTGAGTAAGATACATTCATTTAATAAATGTCCATCTAGGACCTTCTGTGTGGATGTAGCATCTTGTGTTCAAATCTAGACTCTTCTAGTTACTAACAGAGTAACCTTAGGCAAGTTATATAACTAGTCAGTGGCCCTGTTTCCTTGTTGGGAAGATGGGGATAATAATAGTGTCCTTCCTCCAGGATTGTTATGAAGATGAGATGGATGAATAGACATAAAGCACCTAGAATAGTGCCTGGAACACAGTGAGGACTCAGTGCATGGCAGTTGCCACAGCCGTTGTTGGTATTTTTATTACCAGCAACAGTACATGTACTTCAGTTTGCACAAGATTTTGAAAACAAAGAACTCATTCTAGTGAAAGGATCACACTGAGAGGACCCTGCTGTCTTCATGTTTGTAAATGAAATATTTAGTCAGCCATTAATTCAGCTAACAAATATTTTTGGAGCACCTAATACATTCAACAGTATGGATCCTGTCCAGCAGAAGATAAGAGAAAGGACACATAGGCAGAAGGCGCAGCCTATGTCAAGGCCAAAGGAGAGAAATCACATGGTCTGTGGAAGGAGCTGCAAGCGGAGGTAAGGGGGAGAGGGGAGCGTGGTGGTGGGGCAGGGTCAGAGGGGGAGTGCCTGCTCTGCTGTGTGCAACCTGCCTTGCCTTGAGGCTCTCAGCTCACTTCCCCCCTCAAGTCAGGCATCCAATTCCATGCTTTCCTTAAAGGAATAGGGATGGAGCTCCCAGCTCAGCTGGAGAGAGGTTGCTGTGAGGAGGTTTCAGTGTGATGGGGCCCCGGTCAAGCCCATCCTTGACAAAGGTTTGTGGGCTTTGGAGCGTGAGGGTTCTGGTTTTGGATTTCTGTCCACTGAGGGCTGTGTGACTGTGGTTGCTGCTTGGCCCTTCTGTGCTGCCGTTTCCTCATCTAAGAGATGAGACTAACTCAAGTGGCCATGTAGGGAGGTGTGCGGATTAAATGAGCTGACCACTAACGTAAAGGGCCGAGCTCCTGTAGGGCCTCATCTGTCTTAGGTCTCTTCTCTAGGGGCAGGAGAGCCTTTACCACCCTCACTGCCAACCCTGTGCTGTGGTGGAATCCCCGCCCCTTTTCCCTAGGATGCATGTTTGTGTGCTAAGTCACTTCAGTCATGTCTGACTCTTTGTGATCCAATGGACTGTAGCCCACCAGGCTTCTCTGTCCATGGGATTCTCCAGGCAAGAATACTGGAGTGGGTTGCCTTTCCCTCCTCCAGGGGATCTTCTCGACCCAGGAATTGAACCCACGTCTCTTATGTCCCCTGCGTTGGCAGGTGGGTTCTTTACCACTAGCGCCACCTGGGAAGCCCTAGGATGGGGCTCCTTTAAATCCTAGGAGGAAGGTGCTGGCAGGCTACAAGAGGTCCTGTGCTTTTCTGGGATGGCAATAGCAGACACCCCACCTTGTGGCCACACCCACATGGCATCATGTGGTTCCCACTACCCCATGAGGCCAGGTGTGGGGTCTGTTTTGTTTGTGTGAAGGGTATGAGTGAATACATGTTGAAAGACTGGTGGTGGGCAGATGGGCTCATTTTTCTCTCTAAGGTAGGATGGATGGGGGTCTCAAGAGTAGTTTTCAAAGAGATGGTAGGGAAAGGTTTTCAAGTCATGAAATAGACCCCAAATCTCTGCAGGTTTCACAGTGTGAACCCAGCTTCAAATTGTGGGTGGCCTAGAAACTAGTTAGGCAGAATTTCTTCTTGGAAACATTTGTTTGACTTCAATCATTGCCCACAATATTCTTTTCCCCCTTCTTCCACAGTAATAGAATTTTAGCATCACTGAAAAGCTATACTTTCTCTAAGAGGATACATATCTCAGCCACCTTTCCATCTAGGTATGGCCAATGGATGTAATTGGAAGCATTTCAGAGGTGCTTCTGGGAAGCTAACCTAAAAAAACACACTTGTATACCAAAAGCCAGTGGACGAATTGTATGGTTTCAAATAATACCTCAATGCAGTTGTTTTTAAACAATCCTACTTTTTGACTTTTTTGTGTATATACCTTTTACTACCTTGTGCTACCTGGGATGCAGATGTGATAGCTAGTGCTCTGGCTGCTATCTTGGATTATGAGGATGAGGACCATACTCTAAGGATGGCACCATAGTGAGCAGGGAATGAGCTGGGTAATTGAGGACTTCATTGACTAAAAGCTCTTTATTAGTTTTGGATGACATACATCTGGACTGTTGTATGAAATGGAAAAAGAAAAAAAGCTTCGGTTTTATCTGAACTACTGCCAATTTGGGTTTCTGTTATCTGTAGCTGAACTTAACCCTTACAGATAGAACATCTCATTGGGAGACTGTGTCTTCTGGCTTCCTCTCAACTCTTGGGAAACATGCAGACTCACCTTCATGAACTGCAGTCTCTTATGGGCGCTTATGTGCTGTGTGACCTCTTTGAGCCACATTTTATTATATGAAATGTGGAGATAATTATACTTTCCCTGCCCTGCTTACTCATGAAATTGAGATAATCAATGAGATAATGCGTGGGGAAGCACTTGGAAAATTAGAATGTACTTTACAAATATTATGCATGGAGTTGTTATCACCAGCTCCCTATCTCTTTATTAAAATTGAACACACTATTGAGGGGAAAAAAAAAGTAAAAGCAGAGAGAAAAAAGGCGTGTCAGCACTTCCTACCAACCAGCCGTGGACTATCATCACCAGTGGCAGCGAGGAGTTGAAGCCACACTGCTGTAACGTGTCTGAGTGAGTGAGCCGAATCTGACAGCCCTTATCGGTTTCTCCTCTAAAGAGCAGAAATCTGGTTCTTGTCTCCTGCGATGTTTCGTTTGTTTCAGCAGCTCTAGATCTCCTTCCAAATGACTCTGGAAGATAAAATTGGGGACAGTGCTTCACCTGGCATCTGGTCCACCTCTGCCAGTTCCGGGACAACCCCAACATTTGTAAGAGCACTAGGCAATAAGGTTACTGCAAGGTGCTGGAAGTAGGCCCGGGATGTGGCTTTGGGGAACCCAAGGAGCATTTTATTTCCAGCACAATGGCCATTCCTTTCCTGGGAGATGATGGAGGGTGACCGAGGAGGACCCCACACAGAGATGGAGAGGACCAAATCCTCCATCCTGCCATCCCAGTGACCATAGGATTGGCCAGTCAGACCCCAGACTAACTCTAGGTCAGTGGGAAGATGGGAGAAGCAACTAGGACTGAGGTCAGAGAGGATAAGTGTTCATGATTTGGGGTGCCAAATCATGATGCCAATAAGTGGTGGTATTTTGGACCCAGTATCTCTGATTCCAATTGCCTGCATCCCTATGCCAAGGAGATAGCACATAGAGCATCTCAGTTAGACGACACCATGCATTCTGTCATATGGCTCAATCTGTTCTCACACGTAGTCTTGCATGGACCAGGTAGGATGTGGGTGGGGAGGACTACAAAGAGAGTGATGAATTGTGCTGAGTGGGAGTGGCATTCAGGGAGCGCTTTTCAGGGGGAGTGATGCTGATGCTGGCCTGGAGAGTTGAATGAAGGCTTGTGTGTCTGTATGGGTGGGTGAAAGGAGCTTTCTGAGAGGCAACAGCTGAGGAAGGGCTCAGAGCCAGGAGACATTGTGGGTATAAGGAGGCAGAAGAATGGGAAGCCAGAGTTTATGGGCCCTTGGGATGCTGAGGCTTTATGCTCTAGACGATAAGATGCTGCTAAAGATTTTTTCAGTAGAAAAGGATAAATGAATATCCATTTGGAATCTTTCAAAGATTGTGGGAGGGTGAGGTAGGGAGAAAAAGACTGTTTTTAAGATTATACCTCCTGTTGTTTTCCTGAAAGGCCTTCTAGCTTCTCTTTTAGGGGAGCCTCACCCTGACTCTGAGCCACTTTGTGGAGGGTGAGCAGTCTCCCAACATCTGTCAAGACCATGGTGTTGGTCAGAGACATGACCCTGTGATCAGGAGCGGAGTGGAGCCTGAGGGAGGGGCTGTGGTCCCAAGGTGTGGCACCCCAGGACGGGTGACATCTCTTCTGCCAAGATCAGGAATCAGACCAAGAGCCGGGGAGGATGCTCCCACAGCCCCTACCAGCTGAGGGGGGCCTCCCCTGTGGCTGAGGGGTGAACACAAGGCCATACCAGCAGTTTTGATCAGTGAACTCAGTTCAGCCCAGTTTCTGAGAACCCTGATCATTCCTTCTGAGCACAAAGTCATTCAGGCTTCTCAAACAATAAGTCTTGGGCTTGTGGTTTCTGGGGACAGCAGGACAGAAAGATGATGAAATGACAAAGAGCAAGGAGAGGTATTAATGAAACCAATTTTCCTACCCAAAGGTTATTAATTTGAAAGGTTATTAATTCCCAGCAAAGGGCAATGATTTTTCACAATGATGACAGAATGAAATGCATCATATTTTATTAAAAGGAGAAGTGAGGGAGAATCTGGATAACTTCTCTGAGCTAATGAAGAAAATTTCTGGCACCGAGAGTGGCTTTCCCAAGCTCACAGACTGTCTGAGTTTATCCTCATTCATGCAAGCGTAATCCCAGATGGTGCTCCCATCTCTTTGCATGCACTACTCCCCTGGCCTCTACGTCAGAAGCCAGGGTGTCATCTTACACTATTTTAGCAGCTATTTAATCAGTCCAAAGCTTCAGGTTCCCAAATATCCCTAGAATCCAGTGCCTTAGCTCAGGCGCACACTGTTTCTTGCTTGGTTTATTGCCACAGCTTCCTAAATGGTCTCTCTCTGGTTAATCTCACCTCCCTCCCTCACAGTGCTGCTCAAAGACTCTTTCTAGAACAGAAATGACTATCATACCCGTCAGTGACTTTAAGATTCTTGGTATTGCAGCCAAGGCCTGAATGGCAACTCTGATCCCTCAAATTCTCCCCTCTCTACGCTCCCCTGCTGTCCCAGACTGCCTGCAGTTCCCCCATTGCCATTTCACTTACCTGCACCGTTGCACTCTCACTGCCCTGACCCTTTGCATTCTCACTTCCCTCTCTGCTATTCCTCTGTGAACTCTGGTCCATCCGTTACAATGGTACTCAGATGTCACCCCCTCCAGGAAGCCTTCCCCTCTAGCCAGAGGTAATTACTGCAGCACCTTACTGGGCCCCTGATCCTAAGGTCAGTTGTTTGTTTCGAGGCATGCTGTTTTCACCACCAGGCTGCGAACTCCTGGAGGACAGACCTGAGGATGCTTGGTAACTGCTTAGTGTGTGCGGTAGTATTCTGTGGGGTCCAGGTCTCAGATCAAAGGCTATCATTTGATTTGTCAGCCATTTATGCATTGGGACTCAAGGTAACTAATTTTCTCTTATCCAGTGATTGAATAGCTTTATCTTCCTTCATTTCAGGATAGGTGACTTGAATGCTAAAAAGACTATATAAAATAAACTGGGGATAGATATAATACCCATCTTGTGAAGTCCTTGCAAGGATTAAAAAAGGTGATATTTGTAAAGACCTTAGAATAATGCCTGGCACACAATTAGCACCCATGTAAGGGTATGTTGCTGAAATAAATGTGGCTCAGAGCCTCCAGCATCTTGTATTTTTGATCCATGAAATTCTTTCTATGAAAATTTATCCCAATTGCCCTCGTAGGACCAATTCTGTCTTATGTGTATTTACTCTGGATTTAGCTGGGAGAATCAGCTCTGGCCCCAGTGCCTGGGACTTTGAAGCATTCAGGAGAGTCCCAGGGAAAAGCAATTGTTAGATGGAAAGGCTCATAAACACCTGGACTGGGCTGGTCTTTCCCTTTTCTTCCTTAGGGCTTGGCTCTCTTTCAGCATGCGTATGAGTGAGGAAGTTGTATATATATTAATTCATTTAGTTTCTCAACAAATACTTATTAAGCATGTATTATTATATTCTGCCCTGGGCCCTCTCTAGGTACTAGTTTTTTGCAAGCAGGGCCTGATGTCTGTGTTTCAGGACTCCCCAGCCCAGTGGGAAAAGCAAGAGTGAGAATCAGCCATCACTTGTGGTTGCTGTGAGTACTGCAGTGGAAGGACACCTTGCGTAGGGGTTCTAGGGAAGATGCCAAGAGAAAATGAGGCATCGGTTGAGTCTGGAAGGATGAAAGATTCTTTTTTCCTTTTTGCTATTCTTTTTTTAAAATTTATTTTTAATTGGAGGATGATTGCTTTATAATGTTGTATTGGCTTCTGCCATACAGCAACTTGAATCAGCTGTAAGTATACATATGTCCCCTTCCCTTAGGTCATCTCCCACTGCCATCCCATTCCTCTAGGTCATCACAGAGCACTGGGTTGAGCTCCATGGGTTATATAGCAAGTTATCACTAGCTATCTGTTTTACATATGGTAATGTATACATTTCAGTGCTACTCTCTCAATTGGCCGCACCCTTACCTTTCCCCGTGTGTCCACAAGTCTGTTCTCTATGTATATTCCTGTCTTATGTGTACTTGCTCTATTCCTGCTCTGCAAATAGGTAGGATGAAAGATTCTTTAGGCACTCACATCTAGGAGAAATTGTTGAAGAAAGAGGGGCTCTGTGACCTGAGTATTGAAGGGCTGCTATGGGGCAGAGGGCCTAGAATTCTTTTGTGCAACTCCAGGAGACAGAAACAGAGTCAATGGGTGGGCATGACATGGAAGGAAAATTTTGCCTTTAAGTGGTTTGTAAAAATTCATAGTTGAAGAAATTAGGACAAAGAGAAAGGTGGCAAAACAACGAACAGAAATGTTAATAGATTAGCAAGCTAAACTGCACACTCTGTGATTGTATAAGACTGCAGAAGACGGGCCACAGATTTTGTTCTGAGCTTCCTATTGGCCAAATCAAAGATGGAAATAGCAGTTACAGAATTCATGCTGTCCAGTTCTCACACTTTCTTGGTCCTGAAGCTTGATATGGTTTTCCTGTGGGTTGTTGTATGAAGAGGCCACTGCATGAGGCAGGGTCATTGTCTTGAATACTATTCCTGTGAAATATACAGGAGCAAGCTTTATGTAGTTGACTCTGAGATGCATAACAATCTTCAATGGAAGCAGCACCAACAGTATGAAAAATAGCATAAGTCACAGTGAGTCTCTGTAAGGCTCTTTGCTCTAACCCAGCAGCAGGTCTATGACTGAAGGAGGCAAGGGCTACTTCAGGTCACATTTTGGTTGGAAGGAGTAGAGCTTCAGTGCCTGAACGTCTGAGCCACCTTGGAAGCAGAATCTGATCAACCCCTTCATAGAACACATAGAATACTGGAGCAACCTCAGGCAAGCCACAGCTTCAAGGATACACTCAGTTCAGTTCAGTTCAGTCGTGTCTGATTCTTTGCGACCTCATGGACTGCAGCACGACAGGCTTTCCTGTCCATCACCAACTCCCAGAGCTTGCTCAAACTCATGTCCATTGCATCGGTGATACCATCCAACCATCTCATCCTCTGTCATCCCCTTCTCCTCCTGCTTTCAATCTTTCCCAGCATCAGGGTCTTTTCCAATGAGTTAGTTCTTCCCATCTGTTGGCCAAAGTATTGGAGTTTCAGCTTCAGCATCAGTCCTTCCAATGAATATTCAGGACTGATTTCCTTTAGGATTGACTGGTTGGATCTCCTTGCAGTCCAAGGGACTCTCAAGAGTCTTCTCCAACACCACAGTTCAAAAGCATCAGTTCTTCGGCGCTCAGCTATCTTTATAGTCTAACTCTTACATCCATACATAACTACTGGAAAAACCGTGGCTTTGACTAGACAGACCTTTGTTGGTCAAGTAATGTCTCTGCTTTTTAATATGCTGTCTAGATTGGTCATAGCTTTTGTTCCAAGGAGCAAGCGTCTTTTAATTTCATGGCTGGAGTCACCATCTGCAGTGATTTTGGAGCCCCCCAAAATAAAGTCTATCAC